CTTCCCCCTCCCTACAGCCTCCCCCACCAGCCTCCTCAATACATGGCAGCGAGCTGACAGATATGCCTTTCCACTTATATCCCTGCAATGAAAGGGACAAGAGCAGGGCTATTTTGGGGCAGGAACGCACAGGAACGGAGTTCTGGCTGGCTCCCAAGTTGGCCACGCCCAGCAGGAACTCATTAGCATAATAGGCCACACCCAACAGCAGAAACTCATTAGGATTGGCTACACTAGGGGTGTGTGGCCTAACATGCAAAGGAGTTCCTGCTACAAAAAAAAAGGCCCTGGGTTTTGACAACAAACAAGGTAAACAGAATAAGAAGCAATAGGTGGATGTGGCTGGATGACCACACTTCTGGTAACATGGAGGCCTAATATGCTAATGAGCTGTGCTGTCAGGGGTGTGGCCCAATATGCTAATGAGTTCCTGCTGTTGGGTGTGGCTTTTTTTTGCTAATGAGTTCCTGCTGGGCTTTTTCTACAAAAAAGGCCCTGGACAAGAGACTTATTTAAAAGTGGCTGGGACTCAAGAGAACATGGAACACAGATTGTTATGTCGATATGATATTCGGTTGCTGATAAAACACGCCCACACAGGTTGGGGCGGGAGCAGGTCAGGGATGTGATGCCGTCCTGTTCACCCTGAGAAGCCGCCGTTTTCTTCGGCAGCGCTGATCTCCGTGGTCTAAAGATCGGTTGTCATTCTGGGAGGAAGCCGGCCCCACCTAGGCGGCAGAAATGGCTGCTGTGTGGGTGGGACTGGGAAAATTCACACTTCCCTACCCACACAGCAGCCATTCAGGAGTTGCTGCAATATTACCCAAAAGCATTTAAAGGGATCCGTATGTTGTCGAAGGCTTTCACGGCCGGAGTTCATTAGCTGTTGTAGATTCTCCGGGTCGTATGGCCGTGGCCTTTAAATACTTTTGGGAAGAAGTAGGGGGGCGGTGTGGACCCCTCTCCCTCCCCTCCTGAAAGATTTAAAGGGTCCTCCAACTGATCCAAAGGGAGCACCCAGCTGGAGGGCCCCTTAAATCTTGCAGGGGGGTGGGAGCGGGGGACAGTCGCCCTTCATTAGGGCAACTAAGGGTAGTCCCAATCGGACCTTCTGCAGGCCAAGTAGAGGCTCTACCACGGAGCCACAGCCCCTGTTGGCAGCTCTCCGGGGTCTCAGGTTAGAGGTCTTTCCCGTCACCTCCTGCCTGGTCCTTTTAACTGGAGATGCCCAGAGCAGTGTTCCCTCTAAGCTGAGTGAGTGTGAGCTAGCTCACAGTTCTTTAGCCTCCGGCTGACGCATTTTTGTCTTAGCTCAGGAAGGAGGGCTCCAGAGCAGTGTTCCCTCTAAGCTGAGTGAGTGTGAGCTAGCTCACAGTTCTTTAGCCTCCGGCTGACGCATTTTTGTCTTAGCTCAGGAAGGAGGGCTCCAGAGCAGTGTTCCCTCTAAGCTGAGTGAGTGTGAGCTAGCTCACAGTTCTTTAGCCTCCGGCTGACGCATTTTTGTCTTAGCTCAGGAAGGAGGGCTCCAGAGCAGTGTTCCCTCTAAGCTGAGTGAGTGTGAGCTAGCTCACAGTTCTTTAGCCTCCGGCTGACGCATTTTTGTCTTAGCTCAGGAAGGAGGGCTCCAGAGCAGTGTTCCCTCTAAGCTGAGTGAGTGTGAGCTAGCTCACAGTTCTTTAGCCTCCGGCTGACGCATTTTTGTCTTAGCTCAGGAAGGAGGGCTCCAGAGCAGTGTTCCCTCTAAGCTGAGTGAGTGTGAGCTAGCTCACAGTTCTTTAGCCTCCGGCTGACGCATTTTTGTCTTAGCTCAGGAAGGAGGGCTCCAGAGCAGTGTTCCCTCTAAGCTGAGTGAGTGTGAGCTAGCTCACAGTTCTTTAGCCTCCGGCTGACGCATTTTTGTCTTAGCTCAGGAAGGAGGGCTCCAGAGCAGTGTTCCCTCTAAGCTGAGTGAGTGTGAGCTAGCTCACAGTTCTTTAGCCTCCGGCTGACGCATTTTTGTCTTAGCTCAGGAAGGAGGGCTCCAGAGCAGTGTTCCCTCTAAGCTGAGTGAGTGTGAGCTAGCTCACAGTTCTTTAGCCTCCGGCTGACGCATTTTTGTCTTAGCTCAGGAAGGAGGGCTCCAGAGCAGTGTTCCCTCTAAGCTGAGTGAGTGTGAGCTAGCTCACAGTTCTTTAGCCTCCGGCTGACGCATTTTTGTCTTAGCTCAGGAAGGAGGGCTCCAGAGCAGTGTTCCCTCTAAGCTGAGTGAGTGTGAGCTAGCTCACAGTTCTTTAGCCTCCGGCTGACGCATTTTTGTCTTAGCTCAGGAAGGAGGGCTCCAGAGCAGTGTTCCCTCTAAGCTGAGTGAGTGTGAGCTAGCTCACAGTTCTTTAGCCTCCGGCTGACGCATTTTTGTCTTAGCTCAGGAAGGAGGGCTCCAGAGCAGTGTTCCCTCTAAGCTGAGTGAGTGTGAGCTAGCTCACAGTTCTTTAGCCTCCGGCTGACGCATTTTTGTCTTAGCTCAGGAAGGAGGGCTCCAGAGCAGTGTTCCCTCTAAGCTGAGTGAGTGTGAGCTAGCTCACAGTTCTTTAGCCTCCGGCTGACGCATTTTTGTCTTAGCTCAGGAAGGAGGGCTCCAGAGCAGTGTTCCCTCTAAGCTGAGTGAGTGTGAGCTAGCTCACAGTTCTTTAGCCTCCGGCTGACGCATTTTTGTCTTAGCTCAGGAAGGAGGGCTCCAGAGCAGTGTTCCCTCTAAGCTGAGTGAGTGTGAGCTAGCTCACAGTTCTTTAGCCTCCGGCTGACGCATTTTTGTCTTAGCTCAGGAAGGAGGGCTCCAGAGCAGTGTTCCCTCTAAGCTGAGTGAGTGTGAGCTAGCTCACAGTTCTTTAGCCTCCGGCTGACGCATTTTTGTCTTAGCTCAGGAAGGAGGGCTCCAGAGCAGTGTTCCCTCTAAGCTGAGTGAGTGTGAGCTAGCTCACAGTTCTTTAGCCTCCGGCTGACGCATTTTTGTCTTAGCTCAGGAAGGAGGGCTCCAGAGCAGTGTTCCCTCTAAGCTGAGTGAGTGTGAGCTAGCTCACAGTTCTTTAGCCTCCGGCTGACGCATTTTTGTCTTAGCTCAGGAAGGAGGGCTCCAGAGCAGTGTTCCCTCTAAGCTGAGTGAGTGTGAGCTAGCTCACAGTTCTTTAGCCTCCGGCTGACGCATTTTTGTCTTAGCTCAGGAAGGAGGGCTCCAGAGCAGTGTTCCCTCTAAGCTGAGTGAGTGTGAGCTAGCTCACAGTTCTTTAGCCTCCGGCTGACGCATTTTTGTCTTAGCTCAGGAAGGAGGGCTCCAGAGCAGTGTTCCCTCTAAGCTGAGTGAGTGTGAGCTAGCTCACAGTTCTTTAGCCTCCGGCTGACGCATTTTTGTCTTAGCTCAGGAAGGAGGGCTCCAGAGCAGTGTTCCCTCTAAGCTGAGTGAGTGTGAGCTAGCTCACAGTTCTTTAGCCTCCGGCTGACGCATTTTTGTCTTAGCTCAGGAAGGAGGGCTCCAGAGCAGTGTTCCCTCTAAGCTGAGTGAGTGTGAGCTAGCTCACAGTTCTTTAGCCTCCGGCTGACGCATTTTTGTCTTAGCTCAGGAAGGAGGGCTCCAGAGCAGTGTTCCCTCTAAGCTGAGTGAGTGTGAGCTAGCTCACAGTTCTTTAGCCTCCGGCTGACGCATTTTTGTCTTAGCTCAGGAAGGAGGGCTCCAGAGCAGTGTTCCCTCTAAGCTGAGTGAGTGTGAGCTAGCTCACAGTTCTTTAGCCTCCGGCTGACGCATTTTTGTCTTAGCTCAGGAAGGAGGGCTCCAGAGCAGTGTTCCCTCTAAGCTGAGTGAGTGTGAGCTAGCTCACAGTTCTTTAGCCTCCGGCTGACGCATTTTTGTCTTAGCTCAGGAAGGAGGGCTCCAGAGCAGTGTTCCCTCTAAGCTGAGTGAGTGTGAGCTAGCTCACAGTTCTTTAGCCTCCGGCTGACGCATTTTTGTCTTAGCTCAGGAAGGAGGGCTCCAGAGCAGTGTTCCCTCTAAGCTGAGTGAGTGTGAGCTAGCTCACAGTTCTTTAGCCTCCGGCTGACGCATTTTTGTCTTAGCTCAGGAAGGAGGGCTCCAGAGCAGTGTTCCCTCTAAGCTGAGTGAGTGTGAGCTAGCTCACAGTTCTTTAGCCTCCGGCTGACGCATTTTTGTCTTAGCTCAGGAAGGAGGGCTCCAGAGCAGGGTTCCCTCTAAGCTGAGTCGGTGTGAGCCAGCTCACAGTTCTTTAGCCTCCGGCTGACGCATTTTTGTCTTAGCTCAGGAAGGAGGGCTCCAGAGCAGTGTTCCCTCTAAGCTGAGTCAGTGTGAGCCAGCTCACAGTTCTTTAGCCTCCGGCTGACGCATTTTTGTCTTAGCTCAGGAAGGAGGGCTCCAGAGCAGTGGCTTAGCTCGGGAAGGAGGGCTCCAGAGCAGACTAATTCATGCAGCAGCCAAATGGCTCGCTCACGCCTTTCGTGCCAGGAGCTCGCAAAGTTCGGTTTTTGCTCACAGGACTCTGAGGCCCCGCCCCCTGGGGGGGGGGTCAAGCCCCGCCCCTCTCCCGTCACGTGCGCCCTCTGATGCAGCAGCCAAATGGCTCGCTCACGCCTTTCGTGCCAGGAGCTCGCAAAGTTCGGTTTTTGCTCACAGGACTCTGAGGCCCCGCCCCCTGGGGGGGTGGTCAAGCCCCGCCCCTCTCCCGTCACGTGCGCCCTCTGCCCGTCCGGGAAGGGTGAGGAAGGGCGGGCGGGGCATCATGTGAGCGCGCGGGGCCCTGAGTCACCGGGTCACGTGACGGCCGTGCCATGTGACCCGAAAGCCAGGGGCGGGGAGGGGGGGGAGACCGGCGCCGCGGCGAAGAAACGAAAGGAAAGGCGGCGGAGTCGCCCGGCCCCTGTGGGCGAGACCCGCCAATCGCGTGCGGGCCGGAAGCGGGGCTCGGCCAATCCGCGCCGGAGGGGGCGTGGCCGGCCGCTGGGACTGGGGTTCCCCGGGCTGGGAGGCGGCGGCCGGGCAGGTTCTTGGGCTGCGGCGGAGGTGAGTGGGGCGCTCCGGGGGGTCCCCGCAGGGCAGGAGGCGACGGGGCAGAGCGGCGGCTGCCGGGGGCGAGGAGGAGGAAGAGGAAGGGCTAGTGGAGCCTCCCGGTTCGGAGGCAGTCTACCTCGGCAGGCAAGCAGCAGCAGGGCTGCTTTGCAGAAGCGCCGGGCTTCTCTCTGCGGGGCTTCTCTCCTCCCTCCCCGCGTGCAACTGGGAGGGAAGGGGCGCAGGCAAGGCGTTGCTCGCTTCTCCGGTCTTTGCCTCCTCGCAGTGAACAAGGAGGAGTTGGCCCCGGCTGCATTTCCCAGTGCTGGGCATTGCCCCCCCCCCCTCATGTGACAGGCGCAAAGGTCTGAGTCCAGGGGCATCTTTAAGACCAGCAGAGTTGAATCCTGGGCGTAAGCTTTTGTGTGCACGCACACCTTTTAAGACTGACTTTTAGATCTGGGCAGTGTTCCCTCTAAGCTGAGTGAGTGTGAGCTGGCTCAGTTTTTTAGCCTCCGGCTCGCACATTTTTGTCTTCGCTCAGGAAGGATGGCTCCAGAGCAAACTAATTGATGCAGGAGCCAAATCGCTCGCTCACAACTTTAATGCCAGTAGCTCACAAAGTAGAATTCTTGCTCACAGGGCTCCACAGCTTAGAGGGAACATTGGTTCTGGGCCACATCAGCGTTCCTTTGCATGCACACGAATGGGCCGAAGCTTTCGCGTGCATGCAACAGAGTTTAATTCTAGAGATAAGCTTCCGTGTGCACGCACACTTTTAAGACTGAGGAGGTTTAGTTCTGGGCCGCATCAGCCTTCCTGTGCATGCACACGAATGGGCCTAAGCTTTCACGTGCATGCAACAAAGTTTAATTCTAGAGATAAGCTTCCATGTGCACACACACCTTTAAGACTGAGGAGGTTTAGTTCTGGGCCGCAGAAGCGTTCCTGTGCAGGCACAGGAAAGTTTATACCTAGAATTAAACTTTGCTGGTCGTGAAGGTGCCAGTCTGGGCTCGGACTTTGTTCCGCTGCTTCAGAGCAACACGGCGACCCACCCTAATCCGCGTGAAGGAATTGTGATTGAGGTCAGTCCAGGTCCCAGCAGCTGATTTAAAGGGCAGCGATCCGACCCAGAGGAGCCGCCTTTCTCCCTCTAAGAACCTGGAGCGGCCTGAGTGGGCAGTTGGGGACTTGGGTTGGCTGCCTTGAAAGCAGTTGAAAGCTTTTTATGCTGCTGGATGGCGGCCAGCTGGTGGAGAGTTCTGCATGCGCCTGCTGGGGTCAGTGGGAGCGGCCCCACCTGTGTCTTTCAACTTCCTGGTACAACGGTCTACTTCCTCCCTTTTTGGCTTCTGCACCTCAGTTTCTCTTTTCAGCTTCACTTCCTCATCTGCCGGGACTCTGGACCCAAAGACTGCCTTTGTGCTGAAGCAGCTGGGTGCGCCTCTCTTCTCCGGGTTTAAGTTCCTGGTGAGTTCTGATCCTTCTGGTAGCTTTTGCTCGCTCTGTGCATGTGTGAGTGTGCCTCTGGGGCCCTTCTGAAGTCTTCCTCCAGTCTTTGGTGCTTTTTTCCACGAGAGACCCTCCCCCTCCCCTTCCTGATGTTTGTACTGTGCCTGACTCCCGCTGTCCTATCCTAGAATTCCTCTGGGGGGAAATGGGCTCAGCATGGCTGTGCCAAACATTGAAGGTGCCAGAGGCATTGGCGGCAGACAGTAGCTAGACCGAAACCGGCTCATTCTCTAGCGACTTCTCCAACGGAGCTCCTGCTCTGAAACGCCGCCCAAGAAGAAGAAAGCATGCGTGAAGCAAATGCACGTGTACAAGACTTTGCTCAGATGTGCAGGGGTATGGTGATACCGTGTGAAGCCGGCGAATGATTTTTGCTTGCAGGGCTTTTGGTGTGAGGAAGACAGAGCCAGGCAAGGAAGCTTCCCCCCCCCCCCCCCCCCCCCCCGCGCGCGTGCTGATGTGGGGAGAGAGAGGTAGCAGCCCCAGGAATGGCCTTTCCCTTTCCTCCGTCTCCCTCCTGCTTCTTCAGAAGGAGATAAGAGCAATAGAAGGAGGCGGGGGGGGCTTAAGGACAGTGGGGTATGGGGCAGATGGCACCAGTGTTCCCTCTAAGCTGAGTGAGTGTGAGCTAGCTCACAGTTTTTTAGCCTTTGGCTCACACATTTTTGTCTTAGCTCAGGAAGGAGGGCTCCAGAGCAAATGAGGCAGCTGAATTTTCCCTCTTGGGGTGTCTGGCAACACCCCAAGTTCACCATGAGCCCACTTTGTGGTTGGATGTTGTAACTCTGCATGCAAGAGGATCTGGGAGGGAAAGGGTTAAGAGAATTCTCTCCCTGGGGGACACCTAACAGTTGGCCAACCTCCTCTCATCAGTTACCTGTTGAGCCACTTTGGCGCTCTCTTGCCTTCTGTTTCATCTTATTTGGGACCTCTCTTCTTCTCTCTCTTACTTGGGCTTGGAGCTGTAGCAAGTGAACCTGTTTTGGAGTTACTCTGTTCACAATAAGTCGTGTCAGATGTGCTTCTATTTTTGTAAGTAGAATTTCTTTCTCTTGTTTCCACTGGAGTTAGATCCTCTTTGTAATCGGTTTGAACAGCGTTTCCCCCTTAACCGGGGAGCGTGGAAAATAGAGGATAACTGCAAAAAAGCTGCTGTGCTTCCAAGGCAAATAAGTTTTTTTACATTTAACCCAATACTTTGAAGTCCCAACGGTCTCTGTCTGTCAGCTGCAGAGCTGCGGGTGACACTTTCATTGCATAAGGGGAGCTGGTGACCCTGTGATTGCTTTGATTTCGGCGTCTTGCAGCCGCAGCCCTTGTGCGGTGGGCAGGGTTTGGATTTCTCTTTCACCTTCCCTCCGCCATCACAGACTTGTGCAACAGACACTCAGAGGGACTCGCCCACATCCCCCTCTGTAGTGAACTTGAAGTAGGCAGTCTCAGTTCCTGTATTTGTGTTCAAGAATTAGGGGCAAGTTCTACACAGCTGGACTTTTGGACCAAACCGTAGTTTCAAGTAGGTGTCAGCCCTGTCATAGATATGTGGAGGGGTGCACATTCGTTCTCAGCTCTTCCCTGTCCAGCTTCCGTGCTTGACGTTGTTGTTGTTCCCAGCTGCAATTAACTCGGCTGGGAAAAGCGAACGGTTTTTGCACTCTGCCCGTTTGCCTGCTTGCTTCAGCCCGCGCAAACTATAGTAATTGGCCTCAGCTCATGCGGGGGGGACGGGACGTTTGGTTACGCTATAAGTCAGAGGCCCTTATACTGATGGCTATTCCTGACACAAGCTGTATATGTGATCATTAGTACTGGATCCATCAATAAACACTTATCTTCTTATGAAGACTTATGAGGACTGTCCCCGGCGTTCTGGACAATGATGGGCTGGGTGGGCTGAAGTCTCTTTCAGGGTGCCTCACATAGGGAAACTTTCAGGATTTATCTGCGCCTTTAAAGGAAATGAGGAACTGGAAACTCAGTTTGAGCAGATGGCTCTCATGCACGATCTTGGCTTTGTGAAGGGAAACTGAAACAGGTATTTTTTTCAGAGGCTAAGCGTTGCATCCTAATGCAAGTATTCAGAGGTTTACTGCCTCTGTACATAGAGGTTCCCTTTAGTCACCACGGCTAGTAGCCGCTGATGGGCCTCTTCTCCATGAATCTGTCTGATCCCCCCACCCCCCTTAAACCGTCTGTGCTCCTAGCCAGCACTATGTCCTCTGATGGTGGATTCCACATTCTAGTCACTCATTGTGTAAAAAAGTTATTTGCTTTTATTCTTCCCCAATTTACTGCCCATTGATTTTATTCGAAACCCTTGCGTTCTAGTATTTGGGGAGGGACAGAAAAAGTTATCTGTACCTCGTGCATAGTTTTTTAAAACCGCCATACTCACTTTGTAGGGAAGGTGCTCCGGAGTACTAGGGGGATGGATTGAGGACTTTACTCTTGAAGGGGCCCTGGGACTAGGGAGCAGAACTGGTTCCAGGACGGACAGAAGCCACGACGATGCAGACGTCGTCCTTTTTAACACGGATGTTAATTTCTGTGCTGTTAAAAGTGTGCTCTGGCACAAGTGGATGAAACTGTTGTCCCAAATGGGTCAGGAAGGTCCTCTGCCCCCTAGCAGTTTTCATCCCCTGGAGGGGTGTCTGGAGTTAGACCAGCTCTCGCCCGTCCTTATTTGTGTCAGCTATGCTGCCATGGGGGTTGGGGAGTTCCTTCTGTGTCTTGTTAATTGCTATTGCATTCCTATCCCTGCTGTTCTCCCTTTGCTGAAACGCTTATAGGGTATCTAATTGGCCCATGCCATGGGGGGGGGGTGCATACGAATACCCTATATCCTAGTAGGCTCTATGGGTCGCCGCCATTCTTAACAGTGCCTGTGTTACTGCATCTATAGCTTTGCAATAAAAGTATAACCGTTCCTGAATGCGTGTACTTCGTTGTTAGCTGTGGGTTCTGACATTTTGCTTAGGTCAGTCTGTGAGTTTCTCTCTAAGGGAGGTTGACGGAGGCAGGAGAGGCTGCCTTCAGGCCGGGGGTTGGTTTGGATGCCCACCCGGTAGCCCAGCCTACTTGCTGGCTCTGTGTAGGCGGCACCCAGTTTGGTGTAGTGGTTAAGTGCACGGACCCTAATCTAGGAGAACCGAGTTTGATTCCCCACTCCTCCGCTTGCACCTGCTGATGTGACCTTGGGTCAGTCACAAGCTCTAGCACAGCTGTCCTTGGAAAAGAGCCGTTTGTGTCAGGGTTCTCTCAGCCCCACCCACCTCCCAGGGTGTCTGTTGTGGGGAGGGGAAGGGAAAGGAGTTTGTCAGCCGATCTGAGACTCCCTTGGGTAGTGAAGGGCGGGGTGTAAATCCAATCTCTTCTTCTTCTTGTTGTTCCTTCTGTCTCTTTCACTTCCTTTCTGAAAGTTCCGCACCTGCCAAAGCTGGTGGAGGAGAAAGGGACTGCAAAAGAGGCAGACCCGCTGTCCTTGTTAGGCACGCCATCTGGAGTTTCCCGTTCCTCTTTGTGAATATGCTGCTGGGTTTCCCCCACTATGGGTTATGTCTTGTGACCCCACCTGTGGACTCTTAACTTGAGTTTGGGAGACTCACCCAGAACAGTGATCGTTTGGGTGCAATTAAGAAGAAGAGGAGGAGATTGGATTTATACCCTGGCCTTCACTACCCAAAGGAGTCTCAGAGCAGTTTACAAAGAGCCAGTTTGGTGTCGTGGTTAAGTGCGCGGACTCTAATCTGGGAGAACCGGGTTTGATTCCCCACTCCTCCACTTGCACCTGGCTGGATGACCTTGGGCAAGCCGTAGTTCTGATAAGAGCTGTTCTTGAAAAAGAGCAGTTTCTGTCAAGAGCTCTCTCAGCTCCACCTACCTCACAGGGTGTCTGTTGTAGGGAGGGGAAGGGAAAGGAGTTTGTAAGCTGCTCTGAGACACCTTTGGGTAGTGAAGAGCAGGGCATAAATCCAATCTCTTCTTCTTCTTCTTCTTCTTTCCCTTCCCATCCTCACAAAAGACACCCTGTGAGGTAGGTGGGGCTGAGAGAGCTCTGACAGAACTGCCCTTGAGAGAACAACTCTGAGAGAACTTGTGACTGACCCAAGGTCACACCAGCAGCTGCATGTGGAGGAGTGGGGGAATCAAACCTGGTTCTCCTGGATTAGAGTCTGCGCTCCTAACCACTACACCAAACTGGCTCTCTGTGTCGGGGGAAACCATGATCTCTCCTCCAAAGCGAGGCATTGCTGTCTTCTAAAATGGCTGCCAGGGTGCAAGTTTAGCCAAGATGGAGTCCAGGCAGACAGCACCCATCGAGGAAGAAGGGAGTCCCGGGTAAATTTGTTCAGAATCCAGACTGGGCTGCTTAGTGAGAGAGTCGGGTCTTCCACCAGGTCTTCAACTAGGAGCCACCCACCACTACCACCATTATTACATCAATATTTGTGGTTAGTGGACTGGCCCGGTATGGAGATCAGACCAAAATGCTGTGGAAGGCCAGAAGACCACTAAGTCGGGATTTAGTATGTCATCTTTAGTACGCCACCTAAACGTACTGATGGATAATTGTTGCAAGGGGTCATTTCGTAGAAGAAGAGGTGCAGGAGCTTATTAGCACAACTCATTAGCATAACTTACTTGCATAGGCCACACCCCCTGACATCACCGGAAGTGTGTCAGAACGCAACCCCCACCACTCAGGCTCCACTGGACTGTTGTGGATTGCTAGCTATTGGGGGGGGGAGCGTGCAGATCTGCCCTCACAGAGGAGGGAGAGCTTGTACCTGAATAAAACCTGGTCTTAAAGGTGCCGCTGAACTGTTTTGGACTGAGGGGCCGGGGGGGGGGGCCCTCTGCAGCTTACCTGGCTGCTTCTTGCTCTGACCTAGGGCTGCTGGGAGCAGGGGGCGGGGCTTGTTGCATGTGCCCACCCCCTGGGCTCATTACTGCCGGAGCTCCGCTCTGCAGGAAATGACCCCTGATTGTTGCGAGCATTTTAAATGTTATTGTATGATTGTTTTAACTGTTTTAAATGTTTTGTGTTTACCGGCCATGCTGTGCCGCTTATGTGAGCCCGTCCGCAGGGAGGGTGGGATATAAATATAATTAATAAATAAATATAATTAATTAAATCGTTAGTGGGTATCTGAAACTCCGCTGGCCCTCTTCACCCTCACTGCAGGGGTCCTCTGTCAGTCCCAGCGCAGCTCTCTGCGCAAGTTGGACCTCAGTGACTTGCAGGCAGAAAGTCACGTATTTCACCACAAACATGGAAATGTGGCTGGTTGCACCCTTGCAGGGAGCTGCGACTCACCCTCAGGTGACCTCTGCACGAGGTTAGTGGGACCTCGTGCAATGTCCAGCTTGCAAAATTTCCTACACAGCAAGGTCAGCAGTTACCACACCAGCTGCTTCCTCTTAAGCGGATGGGAGGCTTCAGACCTGGGGTGGGTCTTCTGGCTGCCCCAGGACAGATTTCACAGGAAATTTCCCCCTTCCAAATTCCCTTTATCTGGCTGCCTTCACTCCCAGAGCTCTCTTGCAGAGTGGTCTGTGTGGACGAGGATCTCGGGGGATCCAGGATGGAACCCCCAACTCTGCCCTCTGGGTGACCTTGGCTCAGTCACCCTCTTAGCCTAACCTACCTCACAGGGTGGTTGTTGTGAGGATGAAATGGAAGGGAGGAGAATGATGCAAGCCACAGGAGAATGATCAAAGCCACTTTGTGGAGGAAAGTGGTGTTATGAATAAAGGAAATAAATTTATGACCCGTGACTTTGGTGAGAGTCTGCTCTTGGTCTGGGGCATTTCACTGCAGGGTGGTGATCTCCAACCGCATTGCACCGCAGGATGGAACCCCCAACTCTGCCCTCTGGGTGACCTTGGCTCAGTCACCCTCTTAGCCTAACCTACCTCACAGGGTGGTTGTTGTGAGGATGAAATGGAAGGGAGGAGAATGATGCAAGCCACTTTGGGGAGGAAAGTGGGGTTATGAATAAAGGAAACAAATTTATGACCCGTGACTTTGGTGAGAGTCTGGTTTTGGCCTGGGGCATTTCGCCGCCGGGTGGTGATCCACAGGAAGTCATCTGTATGTGTGTAATTCACAGATGTGTCTGCGTTTGTTCTCCTTGCAGGTTCCTAGCCAGGATGTGGATCCTGTTGGGGGTGTGCTTGATCCTTGGCGGGGCAGCCTCTTCTCTGCGGTGCCCTGATGGACTCGAATGCGAGGGACCCCGCGGCTGCTGCAAGGATCCTGGGGGGGATGGATATGCCTGCTGTGACCAGCCCCAGGTGGGAACCATGACCGAGCTGCCTTTTCTTTTGGGCCGTCTGCTGTTCTTGCCCATGAGGGGGTGAAGTGCTGCATCCTGCCGTTTCCCGGTGTGGGGAAAAGAGGTTGCATCTCCTCCCGTCAAAATGTTATTGTTTTAAGTTTAAAGATGGGTTTTCTAAGGTTGACTGAAAAATGCTGCCATGTTTACCACATCTTTAAACAATGACTGTGTTTTTTATTTAGCTGATTTTACAGCTTGTTTGAATGTAGAAGGCCCCGCACGCCAGCCCTCCTTCCTGGGACCTCACTGCCAAGAGCCCTTTGAGATAATTTTGTAGATCCTTCTCAGTGGCGGCCCCTACCTGGTGGAACGCGCTCCCGGAGGAGATCAGGGCCCTGCGGGACCTTATGCAGTTCCGCAGGGCCTGCGAGACGGAGCTCTTCCGCCAGGCTTTCGCATAGGGGCCACTGCCGCCACCGCCAATGGTGGCAATAACATTGGGACTAGGAACCGCCCTTGGAAGTTCCGCCATGAATTGTATGGCACTGACACTGTGGGATTGGCTTGAACTATCTACTGGACAGTATCAACCCAAGGGGAGGATTTAAGGAAATGACTGATGCCATCAAAACCACTCAAAGACCATCTTGTTTACAGAAAGCACTTTATTATTGCTATTATTATTCATGATTTTATTGTTCTATCTGGTTTTATGCATGGGCTCATGCCCCTTGTAAGCTGCCCGTTCGCCCGTTCGCGGGGAGGGCGGAGTAAAAATGCTTAAATTAAAAATAAAATAAATAGGCTCCTTCTGGCAGATGCACTGGCATCCGCTTGAGAGATTTCCAAGGTCACTGGGTCCCTCCCGCTATCTATATAGCCGGGGTGGGGTGGGGGGATGAACAAATTCCTATTTTCCAACAGCTTTTCCTGAAGCGTTTTTTTCTCACATAGAAAATTTGTTACTCCCATCATAGTGGCCCTACCCTGTGTGTTTTTCTGTACTATGTAAAAGTTTGAGTCCAGTGGCACCTTTAAAACCAACAAAGTTTTATTCTGGGTATAAGGTGCCAGAACTCCAGGGGAACTGATCTCTGCCATCTGGAAAGCAGTTGTAATTCTGAGTGATCTCCAGCCATCACCTGGAGATTGGACACATTTTACCTCAGAACAGCAAACTGTTTAGAATGTTAGAGGCAAAAGCCAATCAAGTCACATATGCAAACGACCTCTGTGTTCCGAAGCAAAGGCCAATGAAGCTACATATGCAAATAACCTCTGTGTTCTGACTGGCTTTGGGGGGGTGGGAATAGCACACTGTTTAGAATGTTGGAGGCGAGACTCAAGCAATGCAGCCAGTGGATAGGGACATATTCTGAGTGACACACCAGGGCGCCAACCAGTTCCGGAGCATGTGGAATGTTCTAGAGAAGTGCCACCACCATTCGGCTTTTATATATAAGGGAGATTGTTACCAGAAGTATTCACATTTAAGCAAATATATCCTTGAAAATGTGTTGTTTACGTCTGCATAATGCAGTAGGTATCTGACATAGTTATTTTCATGCTATACATTTTGCATGAGGAAAATTTGTCTTAAAAACCTTTTCTCTCATTTCACTAATTCCGAAAGGAAAAAGATAGAGGAAGCGTTTGCAGTACTCCTCAGGGTTTCCCAATTCTTCCACTGGAAAAAATTGGAAACATGTCCTCTGTGTGTGTGTGTGTTCTGAATTTGTCTGTTGTTTTTTCTCCAGCCCTCCCTCTGGTGCAAAGGCATAAGTAGCAGGAGCCTTTGCCGCTGCATTGTAGGCCTTCCCCCCCCCCAAAAAAAAATCTGTGTGTCTCATGTCCGGCACCAAGTGAGACACCCCTTCCAGTTCCCTGCGCTGGAAAGTGGGTCTGTACTGGGATTGTTGCCTCTGAGAAGCACCTTTGTCCACCCCTTGGCCTTGCACAGCTTTCCCGAATCCCCTGTGACGTGCAGGGGGTCCTTAGCAGACCAGTCAATTCAGAAAGGGGACTCTTCCCCAAGAAGGAAGCCAGAACAGTCTTGCTGTCGGGTGCGTCGAGTCCAAATCTGAAAGGTTCCACTGTTGTCTTGAATCCTGACTTTCTTGGCAGCCATGTTTGTCTCTCACTGCACTCTGCGGTTCGTTTCTCCTCCAGTGCCACCTTTGTGTCGGGGCAGGTGGTTTCCAGGTGGGGAGCCTGAGGCCCCCGCAGAGACGCTTCCCTTTTTTCATCTGTGCTCCTTCTGTTCCCAGTTCCCAGGAGTATCCCTGCGCATGTTGCCTCCAAGGCCCCCGACTGAGGACTCTGGCGTTGTGTGTCCCGATGGCAGCATGTGTCCCCTGGAGTACTCCTGCCTGCGTACTCTGGATGCGTCCTATGGCTGCTGCCCCTGGGGCGAGGTGAGCTGGGGCACGGGAGAGGAGAGGGGGTCATGCCCCTGCTTGCTTGCTTGCTTTGAGGAGAGCCAGGAGATGGAGGGAGGGCCGTTCATGAGTTGTGCAGGGAGTAGAATGTGTCAGAAGCAGGGCCGGCACCAGCTTATTTTCCACCCTAGGCAAGGATCCCTTCTGGCGCCCTCCCCCCCCGTGCCATGGTGGGGGCCCCCCGTGCACCCACCCGGTCAGAGCCAGTGAGGGGGGGCTTTTGGCATGGGGCGGGTGCAGAGGAGGAGGAGAAGCGCTCTGCTGGGAAGCTGAGTGGGCAGGCAGGGAGAAGTTAGTCGGCCAAAGAGGGGGCGGGTGGCAGAGGCGGGGGCGG